AGAAGAAATCGAAGCCCTTCATAAAAATAATACATGGGACCTTGTGCCACTACCACAAGGAAGGAAGCCAATTAGTAACAAATGGGTCTTCAAAATCAAGCGAAATGGTGACGATCAAGTTGAGAGGTATCGTGCAAGACTGGTGGTCAAAGGATATGCTCAAAAGGAAGGTATTGATTTCAATGAAATATTTTCTCATGTGGTTCGACTAACAACAGTTCGAGTAGTTTTGGCAATGTGTGCTACATTGGACTTACATCTAGAGCAGCTAGATGTTAAAATAGCTTTTCTTCATGGAAATCTTGAAGAAGAGATTTATATGCTCCAACTTGAAGGTTTTGAAGAAGACGAAAAGAAGAACTTGGTTTGCAGGTTGAACAAATCTCTGTACGGTCTAAAGCGGGCGCCGAGGTGTTGGTATAAGAGATTTGATTCCTTCATTATGTGCCTTGGATACAACAGACTTAATGCAGACCCTTGTGCTTATTTCAAGAGGTCTGGTGATAACGATTTTGTTATATTGCTGTTGTATGTAGATGACATGTTGGTTGCAGGACCCAACAAAGATCATATTGAATAATTGAAGGCACAACTGGCTAGGGAATTTGAAATGAGGGACTTGGGATCAGCAAACAAGATTCTAGGGATGCAAATTCACCGAGACAGAAGTAATAGGAAGATTTGGCTTTCACAAAAGAATTACTTGAAGAAAATCTTGTCACGATTCAACATGCAAGATTGTAAGCCAATTTCTACCCCTCTTTCTATTAACTTCAAATTATCCTCCAGTATGAGTCCTAGCAGTGAAGAAGAGAGGATGGAGTTGTCTCGAGTACCGTATGCATCAACAGTGGGAAGTTTAATGTTCGCTATGATATGCACAAGACCATACATTGCACAAGCAGTGGGAGTGGTTAGTCGATACATGGCGAATCCAGGCAAAGAGCATTGGAATACAGTAAAGAGGATCCTAAGATACATCAAAGGGACCTCAAATGTTGCATTATGTTACGGAGAATCAAACTTACTAATTAATGGGTATGTAGATTCTGACTATGCAGGGGATTTGGATAAAAGTAAATCTATTACAGGATATGTGTTCAAAGTTACTGGTGGAGCTGTAAGCTGGGTTTCAAAATTGTAGTCAGTTGTGGCTACGTCCACAACAGAGACAAAATATGTAGCAGCTACACAAGCCAGTAAAGAAGCAATTTGGTTGAAAATGCTATTGGAGGAGCTTGGGCACAATCAAGAGTTTGTCTCTCTGTTTTGTGACAGTCAAAGTGCCTTGCATCTAGCAAGGAATCCAGTATTTCATTCAAGGACAAAGCACATACGAGTTCAATACCATTTCATTCGTGAAAAGGTGGAAGAAGGGACGGTAGATATGCAGAAGATCCATACCAAAGACAATATAGCAGATTTCATGACGAAAGCAATCAACGCTGATAAATTTAGCTGGTGTCGATCCTCTTGTGGCCTGACAGAAACGTAAGCAACATGATGGTACAAGGTAGAAAGAATGGTGTGTAGATATGATTGTTCCAATCAAATCTTCAAGTGGGAGATTGTTGACTAGCACCGAAAGGTGCCTAAATTAATGCACCGAAAGGTACATGACCCCTTTTGTTGAAAATATAAAAAATGGGATAATTCAATTTAGTCACTAAATTTAGGGTATTTACAAATTAGTCCTTAGGTTTCAACTATAAATATCCTAACTCATTTAGCTTCAAAATTATCCCAAAGCATTCTAGCTTTCTTCCAATACTAGAGAGATTTTAGAGAGTTTCTTAAGAGTTATTTTATCCTTTTTATCAAGAGAGAATTATCATTGTTTTCTCCTTGGTAGATCGAGAGAGGTTGTAATTCCTATTTTCTCATAGTGAAATTCTTCTATCGTTGCCCGTGGTTTTTACCCTATATAATTTAGGGGTTTTCACGTAAATTTTGTGTCTCTTTTATCTTCATCTTTATTTTCTCAAATTATCAGTTGCAATTTTGCTCTATCCGATAGCCATCTTCCGCAACAATTTTTTTTTACGTGGAAAACCCCTAAATTATATAGGGTAAAAACCACGGGCACCAAAATCATTGTTGACTAGCACCGAAAGGTGCCTAAATTAATGCACCAAAAGGTGCATGGCCCCTTTTGTTGAAAATATAAAAAATGGGATAATTCAATTTAGTCACTAAATTTTAGGGCATTTACAAATTAGTCCTTAGGTTTCAACTATAAATATCCTAGCTCATTTAGCTTCAAAATTATCCCAAAGCATTCTAGCTTTCTTCCAATACTAGAGAGATTTTAGAGAGTTTCTTGAGAGTTATTTTCTCCTTTTTATCAAGAGAGAATTATCATTGTTTTCTCCTTGGTAGATCGAGAGAGGTTGTAATTCCTATTTTCTCATAGTGAAATTCTTCTACCGTTGCCCGTGGTTTTTACCCTATATAATTTAGGGGTTTTCCACGTAAATTTTGTGTCTCTTTTATCTTCATCTTTATTTTCTCAAATTATCAGTTGCAATTTTTCTCTATCCGATAACCATCTTCCGCAACAATTGGTATACGAGCCAGATTAGAGTGTGTAATATCTGCTTATTGTCTTTGTGGTTGCCACCAAAAGGTGGATCCTCCAACATAAGAAAGTAAGAAGTTATTACCCATTCTTTGAAGGTTCCACAGAACTATTCACGATAGTGAAATAGTGGGAGCTATCCGTAAAAGAAGCTATGGCAACGAAATTTGATATTGAAAAGTTCAATGGGAGAAATTTCTCATTGTGGAAATTAAAGATGAAGGCCATCCTAAGGAAAGACGGGTGTCTAGCGGCTATCAGTTAAAGGCCGATGGATTTTGCAGATGACAGCAAATGGATCGAAATGGACGGAAATGATATGGCAAACTTTCATCTAGCATTAGCAGATGAAGTATTGTCAAGCATCGAGGAGAAAAAGACAGCTAAGGAGATATGGGATCATCTCACCAAACTGTACGATGCCACATCGTTGCACAATAAAATTTTCCTTAAGAGAAAATTGTACAATCTCCGTATGCCAGAATCTACTTCAGTGACGGAGCACTTAAATACACTGAACACTTTATTTTCTCAGCTTACATCTTTAAGCTGTAAAATAGGAGAACATGAACGTGCTAAACTTCTACTTCAAAGTTTACCGGATTCGTATGATCAACTCATCATCAACTTGACAAACAATAATGTCACCAGTCTAGTCTTCGATGACGTTGCAGCTGCTGTTCTACAAGAAGAAAATCGGCGCAAGAACAAGGAAGACAGACAAGTAAATCTGCAACAAGCAGAAGCGTTGACAACGATGACAACGATGAGAGGGAGATCAACAGAACGTGGCCAAAGCAACAGTTACAAACATGGTAGATCGAAGTCGAGGAGCAAGAAGAATTTAAAGTGTTACAACTGTGGAAAGAAGGGTCATCTGAAGAAGGATTATTGGAGTCTAAATAAAAACTCCAATCCACAAGGCAATACCGCAAACACTTCAGATGATGGATTACCGGCGTTTTGGACTAAAATGCCCTTAATTTTTTTTCTTTCGAAAATATCATTCTTCTATCATTGAATAATAAAAATTCTACGAATGTTAAATTACAAATTTATCCTTAAACTATTTTAGATTTATAAAAAATCCTATAATTAAAATTTTATATGAAGTTCAGGGGTTAAAATAAAATTTTACCCTTTCATTAAACCTTTTATATTTTCAATTTTGTAAAAAAAATATATAAATTTTATGAATTTAATTTTTTTAAAGAAAATATATAAATATTTTCCAATTTGTTAAAAAATAAATATATAATAAGGATAATTTGGTCAAATATACATTCCAATAATCTTTTATTCCTTTAACCAAACACGATAATCTTACATTCCTGCTAAGCCAACCAAACACAAAATACAACATTCCCAGTAATCTTATTCCCTGGTAATCTTACATTCTCACTGGTAATCTTACATTCCGTGAACCAAACGCACCCTAAGGGATGTATTAATTACGGGACTATCCTTTGAAACCGGTGGCATTTTCTAAAGGCTTAAATGTACGGTCTCTAAAGTATATTATTTGTATCGAGATGTTTTTTGAAGTATTTTATCGAACGTTTTCATTAAAAAAATCAAGAGTAAATTATATATTTAATCACTTAACTATTTTTATGATTTCATTTTAATCAACTAATTTTTTTAAATCATTATTAAACTTAAGTCTTTATTTTATTTTAGTCACCAATTATTCTATCATTAACAGACCTTACTTGAACACAACGAAATATTACCGGAGACGTCAATTCAATTGGAAATCGCCCACTTTTAGCCCTAAAAGAAAAAAAAAACCCCACTTTTAATTAAATAACCATGAATCATCTTAAATTTTAGAAATGTTATTATAAGTTAATAATATATATTTACACTTTATTTGAATTTATAATATTGTAATATATGAAATATCTCATCTTAAATTGTGACAAAAATATAAGAGTATTTTTTATAAAATAAATAAAGTAGAATAAAAATAATATTGTAATTGAGTTGGGATGGGATTTTTCTTGCTTCTGCAATACATGATTTAAATTAATTGATTAATAGATCGGATGTCGATGATTATATAAAAATTATATAAAATTTAAAATAAATTTCATTTAAAAAATTAACACAGTAAAATGATTGAATTATTAAATGGATATTATTTTTCTTTTTTTAGAAACTATTTTTTATATTTAAAAATTTGTAATAATTTAAATAAATAATATTTTTTAATAATTTATAAGATAATAAATAATTTATATATCGGATAAAAAAGGTAGTTTGATCGGTCTGGTCCGGATCGATTCAATATATATGTACGTTTAATATGGGCGTCGGCACAATTATATATAAGAGCAACCCATCCTCTGCTGCCACAATTTCCTAAAATCCACCATTTTTGACCGCCAATTTCCCACCTCCGCTCTATCTATTCCTCGAATGCAATCTAGAAGGGCGTTCATAAATCAGAACTCAGTCATAAACAACAATGTCTTTCAAGAACCGGTCATCGCCGAGTCCTCAACCGCAACTTCAAGATCTCAAGCAACGCGTTTTTACTTGTCTCAACAAACTCGCCGACCGCGACACTCTCGCACTAGCTTCCGCTGAGCTCGAGTCCATCGCTCGGAGCCTGAACGCCGATTCCATTTCTCCGTTCCTTAACTGCCTTCAAAACACCGACTCTTCGGCCAAGGCGCCGGTTCGGAGGCAATGCGTGATCCTTTTGGCTTTGATGTCTCATTCGCACGGTAACGTCCTATCTCCTCACCTTTCTAAGATGATTTGCACCCTCGTTCGCCGCCTCCGCGACCCCGACTCTGCCGTCCGATCCGCTTGCGTCGAGGCGACCACCGCAATGTCGTCTCACATCACGAAGCCTCCGTTTTCGGTTCTGTCGAAGCCTTTGATCGAAATGCTCGTGGTGGAGCAAGATGTTAACTCACAGATCGGAGCGGCGATGTGTTTGTCGGCGGCGATCGAGGCGGCGCCGGATCCCGATACAGAGCAACTTAAGAAGGTGTTGCCGAAGTTAGGGAAGTTAGTGAGGAGTGAAAGTTTCAAAGCGAAACCGGCGGTGTTTGGAGTTATTGCAAGCGTTGTCAGCGTTGGCGGTGTCGGAAGTAAAGGTGTCTTGGATTGGCTAGTGCCTTCCGCGGTAGAGTCTTTGAGTAGCGAAGATTGGGGAACGAGAAAGGCGGCGGCTGAGTTGTTAGGGAAAGTGGCCATGGCGGAGAAAGAGCTAGCAGCGGAGTATAAAGCGGCGTGTGTTGCTGCTCTTGAGAACAAGAGGTTTGATAAGGTGCACCCGTGTGTAACCTAAATCTGTAATCATTTAATAATATACCTCTTCCCGTTAAGGGAAAAAAATGAAAAATAGAAGAAGATTGGTCATCGTTTTGTTAAATTTTGTTGGTACAGGTTAAGATTGTCCGAGAAACTATGAATCATAGTTTGGGTTTATGGAAGGATGTCTCTGGAGTTTGTGAAGAGGCCTCAACTCCTCAGTCCGACTCATCTTCAATAGGTACAGCAATGATTTAATTTTGTTTAGCTTGTAATTGTCTGATATTTGGAAATTCATCATGTTGAAATCCTAAAAGTTAGATATAATATGAACTGCATTTGTCTTTCTTTGTTTGTTTTTTCTGGGATAAGGTACAAAAATTTGATACTTCTTCAATGTGAGCGATCAATTTCAACAAGTTTCACTTCAAAACTTAGAAAACTAGGGGTTGCTATTATTGTGCTGCTGTAGAACATTTATGGTTGGTAACTACTTCTGTAAACTATTAGCTTTCATCATTTATGATTGTGTGCTTTGATCGTGGGAACAGATAATGGTAGCGTTGGATGCTTTCCTTCAATTGCTAAAAGTATCAATGATGATGGTTTTAGAACCCCCCAATCAAAGAAAGTCGTCCTCACGAGCAGCTCCCCTCCATGTGATGCTTCCAATGCATCCACTGCAAAGAAAGAGACTCATAACAATAGGAACGGTAATACATCGATTTCCAGTAAGTTGGACCGCTCAAAATCCTATAATTGGAAGGTTGGAATACCTGAGCCGAAATCTCTGTTTTCTGAGGCCTCCGGTGATGACAATATCAAAAAGAGTGTACCCTTTGTCCAAGTCCATGATGAAAAAGTAAAGAAATTTGGTGGTTTGAGATCTGGGTCTCGGGTGCTTCCTCTTCATGATGATGAGGAGAACTTGGATGTTGGTGACAAGAATGCTTTTCTAAATATTGATGAGAATCCCAAAGACATGGAGGATTTGTCTTTGATCCGTGAACAACTTGCTCAGATTGAAGACCAGCAATCCAATCTATTAAATCTCCTCCAGGTAGTTTACGAAGTTGAATTTCTCTTTCAATGGGTAATTTCTTTTTGTTGTTCCTTGGAAGCTACTGGATTTGAACTGTATTTATGTTTATCCAGTAAAACCCTTGGTTATGGTATTTGTAGTGATGCTCAGTTCTTTATCCATTCCATGGAGGATATTTTGTTAGTAGCTTCCCCCAACCCCAAAATCTCCTTTTACCTGCTATCTTGTTTCATCCTCCGCTACTTTTAAGTGATTTTAATACCAATGGTGTTTATTTGATTCCAGAAATTCATTGGTAGCTCCCAAAATGGGATCAATTCCCTAGAGACACGTGTAAATGGCCTGGAGATGGCTCTTGATGAAATATCACATGATTTGGCTATTTCAAGTGGTAGGATTCCAATCACGGATTCTCCAGATAACACATGTTGCAAGCTGCCTGGTACTGAATTTTTGAGCCCCAAGTTCTGGAGGAAAAGCGAAGGTCGATTTTCTACTTCGGGCCGCAGGCTTTCGCTGAATGCAGTACGTAACACACCTGATAAAGATTATGGCAGTGAAACGTATAATCCATCGTTTAGAGAAAGATATCAGGTTCAAGGTAGGAGTGGATGTGTTATGAACTCAGTGGCATATGCTGGCAGTGACACGAGAGAGAATTCAGGGTTCTCAAATAGAGTATCAAAGAACAGCATTCACAATGCTGAGAGGTTCCAGGTTGGCAATGCTAGTTCTCCTGATGGGACTTCACCAACGAACTATAGAAGCAGGTAATAGGATTTTACTTTAAATTGTCTTCTTCTTCCTTTAAATTTGCTATGTAGTTCATGATTTTCTGCAAGGTGAAAATAGAAGTGTTTTGATCTGTTCTGTTTTCTCAGATATTCAGCTTAAACTCCAATTGCAGTAGCAGAGAAGCGCCCTGGACAAATGGAGGTTGAAGATGAAATGATACGATGGAATGATTGAAATCGTAGATCAAATAGATGGTGAGGTGCAGCATCTTGGGATTGTTGGTTTTCCTTTTAATGCCAACAGTAAATTTAACTGCAATACCAATGGCTTTTAGAACATAAGGGTGTTTCAACGGAATCCTTGCCCCCTCAGCCACCGATTGGTTTTGCAATAGAGAGAATTCATCCTGTAATTCACATATGATTACACCTTAAATTCTGCAGGCTAACAAAATTGGAAAAATAAATATTGCTGCTATTGGTAAAGATCTCATGGAGGATGAAAAACAAGGAGATGTAAGGATTGGCCTTTTTGCTGCTCTAGATATGGAAAATGTGGCTGTTGATGAAAGATCGTCTGAGCCTGAAAATAGTCAGACTTTAGGCTTGCTGACCGACTTTCTTTCTGTAGTGAATGGAAGATGTTGGTGGTTAAAAAGGACTTGTTGGTTAGCAATTTGGAGCTTGTATTACTGATTAATTGAAAGATCATCATGAGCTATTTTGTTTATGTAGATGAAGTTTTAAGTTTTAGCAGAGATGCTGGTTAAAATTCTGCTGCTGTCGAAGTGCAAATTTCCATCTTTTCTGCTGGCATCTAGATCATTAGAAATGTATTTCTGTTTAACATTCTGGTGTTATGAAGAGCCTAGACATAGGTTGGACCTTACCATAGAAATCAGCTGTTTCTTGGGGTTATTGTTTCTAGTACCCCTCTCCTTCGTGTTGTTCGACCTAGTTATTGGTTGGATATGTCCGGTCGGTAGCAAGAACGAAAATGAACAAATTTTTCGCTTTGTCAAGGGGAATTCTACCGTGCGACAGTCTTAATATACGGTTAAAGAAAGGCGTTACCGGTTTTGTTATTATTTCTTTAATAAAATCGGTAAAATATTACCTAAAATATTATTATTTCTACTTAAAACATTAATGTTTTTTAACGTTTCCGGTAAAGTGCCCAATAATAAATAAATCGGTAGAAAAATAACAAAATCAGTAGCGTTTTACCGGATATGTTAATAAAACCGGTAAAGCGCCCAATAATAATAAAACCGTAGAAATAATAATGTTTCCGGTAATTTTTTTACCGATTTTGTTAAAAAATAATAACAAAACCGGTAGCGTCTTTCCTTAGCCTTATATTAAGGTTGCCGCACGTGATACTTTCCAATATCAAGGGTGGTATATTCTTATTGTAGTTGAATAAAAGCATTGATGGAAGCTTGTAAGCACGACAAATCAGTTGTCTAAGTTGCCTAAATTGTTACGAAATTCTGCTCTTAAGGTTGTCTGTTTGGGTGCTATGGTTTCATTTTTGAACCTGGGATATGAGAGTTATTTAGCTTTTATGTTTTTTCTTCTTATTTTCCTTGAATTTTGGCTCTAATTTCTGACCTGAATAGAAAGAATTTCATGATAAGCCGGTGACTGACTATTAACAGATCCTCTGGCAGTTGGATTCTTTATTATTAACAAGATTAGAATATTAAGTTGGTGTCTCACCTACTTGTTCTGGTTAATCAGTTAAAATAGGGCCAAGGAATTGAACTTGTTCTCCTGCAGCTTCATAGTACATAAAGACCCAAAGCTGAAAGATTTTTCATCGTTAAGCCTGAAAACTAAAATTGCTAACGGGATCATCAAGTACAGAGATTATTTCTGCGTCTGCGTTTATCTTTTCGTTTTAGAGGGCTTAAAAGATTTAAACCTCACAAAATGTGAGAAGTTTGGTGCATATTCCAGGTCTTGAGTTCCTGAAGCCCTCAGGACGTTGTACATTAGCAACTGCAGTAAAGAAAAGACTCTCCATGGTTCAAAATTTTCATTGGTTAATGTATAGGATAACGATCCTTGAAACAAATTATTCACTTCAATTTCAACAAAACGAACTGTGTTTTTGCAGGTTTATCTCAAGAATCTGAGAAATCTAAGCATGCCTGGATGTAAAGTTCCGGATTGGTTTTCACGAGATACAATTACCTTTTCAAGCCACAAAAGCCTTGATCTAACCGGGTTATGATAACGGCAGATGTTTCCGTTAACCATCATATGCCAGATTAACTGAGATAACAAATACCTGTGGTGGTGGACGTTCAAGCGCAGATCTTCGATTGTTGACAAGCCAATATTCACCACTGTCTTGCGCTTAATTGGGGTACCGAAAATGAACCAATACCATGTTCACTTGTGTCAATATCCGTCATATCTTCCCAAGGTTTCATTGTTGAAGGATGGTTTTACGATCGAAGTGACAAGACGAAACTTGGGCGTAGATCTGAAGAAAGTCGGGATTTATTTGGTTTATGAGGACGATGATAATTATGATGGCGATGAAGAATCACCGGACGAGAGCCAGCAGACTGCCTGAAAGATTAGCCAAGTTTTTCAGCCCTCTAGACGAAAACGTTGGAGTAGCAAAGGCCACAGATGTTTTGGTGGATCTATTTAATACAATTTTATTTTTCTTAACAAACAAAACTTAAAACGAAATTGGCTCAACATTAAAGCATCAGTAATTATGAACAAGCAACTTTCTTGTACAACAACAATAACGATTCTACGAGATTCAGTACCGGTATATAGTACAGAGAAGGCTGTAAAACCTGACATTTCATAGATGATGTAAAAGAACACATCCTCTGAGACACAACAACGAAGATGTTCAAGTACTAACTTTAGCATTCTTTTAGACAGCAACGGCAGCTGGATGCCTCATGTTGCGGGAAAGAAAATATACTCTCTTTGGTTTACCGGGATGCAATATACTTCTTTGGGCATGACTGAAGGACGAATCATTAGAAATTAATGTTCTTATTGCTGCTTGACAAGGAATTTTTGAGATTACGTTGTTCTTTCAAAACCACCGCGAATATGCAACCACTCTGGTGATGTACCACGACTGTATTCCCTTGTTGCTTGCGAACCAAATGCCATTCCAGTAGTATTAAACGCTTGTTGTTCATACTGAAATGCCAAATCAATTGTTATAACAGATATAAGTCTAGACGAATTTGATGATAGAAAACAAGATCAACGAACAAGATTCTATAGAAACTAAATGTTTAACACGGTACCGATGTGCTCTTCAACCAGACATGATTCTAGGCCAAACATAGTTCAAGTTTGACATGACTTATGAGCCACTAGCTTTAGATTTACAAAACTTCAAAGTAGAAAGCATATGTCGATGCTAGCAACTAGAAAAAGAATGTGATAAAACTACACAGTCATGAGTCAACAGCAGAATAAGTACTAGCATCTTTAAGAGGAAATACTTCAAAGGCAGGGTTCATTCTTGAATTGACTGCTTCAAGCTTCATTGACAAGAACTGCAACACCAGTAATAATGTTTCAGAATGTATGTTCGAGATGGGAAAATGTTAAAAGGTGATCGAGCAAAAGGATACACACCTCGACCTGACGTTGTAGTGATTGGATGTAATTAATTATCTCATCAAGGACAAGAGCCTTGCCAATAACCTGGGTATAATAAACACCTTAGCAAGAAACTGAAGAGAAGTTTCAATATGGTAGCAACAAGAAACAGTATAGAACTTTCACCAGTATACCTTATTGCAACCAGGGACCAGATCCTGAAGAATTTTCATTCTTTCACTAATCTTTTCTCTCCTAGCCTGCCCATCGAACAATTCGGATCAGTGAAAACTATACAAAACCCTCCATCTATGTCGAATGCTATGAATTTTGTTCAACTTTAATGCCAAAACCGCATGATAATGGCATAAGTTCCTTAACCAAAGGCATCTCCTTCGTATCGAAATCTCAATTTTCTTACATTACAAGAATTTCAAAATGGTTTCAGGATAATCATGAAGCAAATTACCCTTTCTGCTAAACTGTGACTATCGGTAGCTTGACCCCTTCTAGCACGGACATGGATGTAATCTTGCTTAGGTGGCTCTGGTGGTTGAGCTTTCTGTTCCACTAGCTTGCCTGAACTGGATTCTGCTTCGAGTTTAGAATCATCGTTCTCGTCTCTACATCCTGACGCTTTGAGTTTTTTCCGATCACAAATACTCTGCACAAATTAGCAACAAATGCCATGAATCCAACAAGAACCAACATTAACAATTGAGGATCACAAACAAAAATCCAATTGAATTAAAGAGAGTGAAAATGAAATACCACGCCATTGCCACTACCGGTGGAGACAATCTTAGCTGACTCATCTTCTCCACCACGCCTCCGCCTCACACCAACCCCTCTCTGCCGCCGCTGCTCCAAGCCCACCGGATCATTACCCGATACCTCTCGATTCGGGTCGACGAAATGACCCGACACATTCCCAAATTGACCCTTCCTTATCGCGGATTCACTTACGGGATACTGCCAGATCTCCGCTATATTGTACCCGCCATCACTCATCATTGCCGGTGGATCCATTAAAAAAACACTCCCAAACTTCACATAAAAAAAAGAGCAAAAAGGGAAACTTTGTTTGAAATTAGTAACGAAAGAAGATGGGTTTTAATGGCAACTGCGTTTCCTTGTTTTCGGCTTCAATTCTTCGAAAGACACCTCGGGAGTTGCGAACTAAGTCACTTCCAGTGAGGTTTACTCGTTTTTTTTAATGCTTTGGAGAAAACCCTTATCTCTCTCACCTCCCTCGTTTTCGCTTATCCAGTATCCACCATCCGATTTACAAAATTCAGGGTATAAATAGACTGGTGCTCCTGATTAGCAGTAAATTAAGGTGATGGGATTATATGATTAGAAAGCAAAGAAATGATTGGAATTTTAAGTGTCAACATTTGTGGTAAAGTGGATGATGGGATATTTGTTTAGTGAGACGTGTAAGAATTTGGAGAAATTAAGATTAGCGAACTGCCTTTCTTATCCGGTCCATTGCTGTGTTCAAGTACCTACTAATCTTATTTGTCATGTCAATTTAATCATAATAAGTATAAATCAGTGAGTGTTTTTAGATTTTTTAATATAAAATTAATATCTTCTATATATGCGCTTGATGCCGACACTAATTTTATAAATATTAATTTTATTTGAGTTCATTCTTGAAGTCTGAAAATAAAACTCAAATTAATTTATATTAAACTAAATTATCATAAATTCTTATAAAGCTTAATAGGCTTAATTCGCTATTTGTATTCAAACTAAACTCGACCTAATCTGATGATTAAAATTTTTTAAATTGAAGATAAATATTAAAACTCTCCTTTTTAGATCTATTCAGGTGTACTTAATTATTTTTAAATAAATTATAACACAAAATGTTTGTAACATTTTTAGAGTCAAGAATTGATGTAAATAAATAATTTGCAAACAATTGCAGTCAAAAGATCAAATTGAGTAAAATACAAAGTTAATGAACTAAATGAAAATAGAGTATATTTTTATTTTAAAAAATAAGAATTGAAGTTACGTAGGTATTCTATAGTTGTATATGAGCATGTGGTTCAAATTTGGAACAAAAAAATAGACATAAAATGAGGGAAGAATTGAAGAAATAAGGAAATCATGAAAAGTTGGGAGACTAAATTGAAAAATTAAAATTATGTTATCAAAAAGAGGGATTGAAAGCAAATATGTATTCTACGATGATTTAGGAGCATGTGGTTCAAATTTGGTAAAAAAAAGACTTAAAATGGAGCAGGAATAAGGGAATCAAAGACTAAATTGCAAAACTATCAAAATAATTAGTCAAATTTTTGGTTTTTCGAGTAACTCGAACTCGAAAACCGGGTTGATAATCCGAGTTGACTAGAATAACTAGAAATTGAAAAAAATGATTTTTTTGAATCGAGTCGAGTTTTGCTCACCATTTTAGGGAGAATTAACTTTTGATCCCTTCGTTTTTTAAATTTATCAATTATGTCTTAAATTTGAAATTTAATTTTAGATTTGTTTTAATTAGGTCCTTAGATCAAAACAGGTTAATATATATTAGCCATCATATTCTTAATTAGCTTCGATGAAATCTTAATTTTGGTGGCTTAATGAATGTCATGCCCTCATAATTGTGAATCTTTAGACAACAACAACCCATATTCCCATATGTAATGGGGTAAGGGGGAGGTAGTGTAGTAGGCTGCCCCCAACGCCAGGTTGAGAGCAGCTTCTGTGGAAGATCTCCGGCAGTCAAGGAAATTAAAAATAAAGATAAAATACAATGCATGTATAAATAAATACATAGTTGAACAATCTTCATATGCGCGTCTGTAATGGGAAGTAATCCCTGCGTAATAATCTATGCATATAGACAGAAATGTAAGTCCCGACTAAATTTAAAAAGAGGAAACATGAAGGGAAGGAATACACAGTAGTCAACGATAGCAAGCTACTAGAAGGAATAAAGTCAAATGGGTTACCACCTAAACTAAGGCAACTCTACTCCGCTACTCTAGTTCTGGGCCTTCATAGATTCCAATGACAGAAACGTATAGAAGTAGAAGTCATGGAAATTACTACATAGGCATTAAAAAAGAAGACAAAGATGCTACAACCCATGGCTGTGACTCACACTACTCGGCTACCCTGGTCTTAAGTCTCCATACTTTCCTGTCAGAGGTCATGTCCTCGGTAAGTGCTAAATCCTTCAAATCAGATCTCAAGCAGTCTACCCACTTCCTCCTTGGTCGTCCTCTCCTTCTGGAACCTTTGACTGTAATCGACTCTACCCTCATGACCGCATCCGACGGTTGTCGCCTAAGGACATGCCCAAAACACCGTAGTCTTCCCTCCCTCAATTTTTCGGATACATGCACCACCCCAAGGACATCCTAATTGCAGAGTTTGGTGTCATGTCCCACAGAGTCTTACCACATGTCCAACGAAGCATTCTCATTTCTGCGGCCTTCATCCTCCTTACGTGATCCTTCTTGATTGCCCAACATTCTGATCCATACATCAACGCTGGTCTTATTGCCATTCTATAAAATTTTCCCTTAAATTTTAGAGGTACCTTCTTGTCACACAAAACTCCAGTAGCAGCCCTCCACTTTAGCCATCCTGCCTTTATATGGTGTGTAACGTCATTATCTACACCCTCATCTTTATGTATCATAGACCCTAGGTACTTAAAACATTCATTTGAAGGGAGAACGTGTCCATCGATGCATACTTCTACATCTTCATCGTCTTGGTTCCCACTGAAATTTGAACATAAATACTCTATCTTTTCAATATTGATCCTTAAACCTTTTTCTTCCAAAGCAGTCTTTCAGGTAGTCAGTCTACTATTTAGCTCATTTTTTGTTTCAACAACTAGGACAATGTCGTCAGCGAAAAGTATACACCATGGAACACCGTCTGGCGTCGCACAATAGATGTCGTTCATAATCAAGACGAAGATGTAAGGGCTAATAGCCGACCCCTGGTGGAGTCCGATTTCTACTCGGAAAGCCTCGGTGTCGCCAACTGTAGTCCTGACGTATGTAGTAGATCTACAGTACATATCACGAATCACCCGGATATAAGTAGTTGGGGTCCGTCTCTTTTCCAAGGTCTTCTAGATCGTATCTCGGGGTACGCTATCATACGCCTTCTCAAGGTCAATGAACGCCATGTGAAGATCTTTATTTTTTTCCCTATATTTCTCCATAAGCTGTCGAAGTAGATGAATCACCTCCGTAGTATACCTGTCTGGCATAAAACCAAATTGGTTTTTCAAAACCCTAGTAACCTGTCTCAACCTAACCTCTAACACCCTTTCCCATAGCTTCATAGTATGACTTAGTAGTTTAATACCTCTGTAGTTACCACAACGTTGGGGATCTCCTTTATTCTTATAGATTGGTATCACCGTAGACTCTCTCCACTCCTCTGGCATCTTGGCAGTCTCTAAAATAATATTAAAGATGTTGGTCAACCACTTAACTCCCTCTTCTCCTAGGGTCAACCACACAGTGATAGGAATTTGATCTGGACCGATAACTTTGTCCCTCCCCATCTTTCTAAGGGCCATTTTGACTTCGTCAATCCCAATCCTACTTGTAGGACAATCATTGGTTGTAGTATGATGGTTGGTTGACCCATCAATGTTACTATCTCTACAGGGAGAGTCACCGTTATTAAATAAGCCCAAGAAGTAACTACCCCAAACCCTCTTAATATCATGATCTTTCACTAAAAGAACACCATTGTTATCCTTAATAAACCTAATGCTACCTAGATCCTTTTTCTTATTCTCCCTGGATTTTGCAAGCCTGAAGATGTCGTTTTGTCCTTCCTTTGTGTCTAATATCTTGTACATTTCCTCGTATACCTTATCCTTTGCTTTAGCCACTGTTTTCTTTGCTTCCCGCTTTACCTCCTTGTATCTTTGTTTAACTCTCGATCTTTCTTCGTCGTCATTACATTGTAGCAACTCCTTGAAGCAAGTTTGCTTAGTCTTCACCTTAGTTTGGACTTCGTCGTTCCACCACCACGATTCTTTATGTTCCTTGACCTTCCCTGTCGACAACTCAAGGGTGTTTTTGCCCACCTCTCGGATTGAATTTGCCATATTTTTCCATAACAAATCTGCATTATTTGAGTTTGTAGTTCTAAAATATGTCTGAGACAAAACCTTACTCCTAAAGTCATCAGCTGTCGCTCCATGTAAGTTCTTCCAAAAGATCATAGGTTTACCTAGTTTAGCCCTCCTAAGATTGCTTTGGTCGTGGCGTACGCGGAACACCAAAACCAACAGTCTGTGTTGTGATGCACATGCCTATTCAGGAAACACCTTACAGTCAATGCAAGCCCATTGATCCCGATTTCGAACCATTATGTAGTCGATTTGGGTACAATATCCCCCGCTATGGAACGTAATCAAGTTCACATCTCTCTTGTTAAAGAAGGAGTTAGTGACCACCATATCGTGTGCAGTAGCAAAATCAAGCAACATATGCTCCGCCTTATTCCTACTGCCAGAGCCGAAACCCCTATGAGCACCGTCATACCCGTCGATTTCACTACTTATATGGCCATTGAAGTCTCCCCCTATGAAAACTCTTTGGTCCTCCGGAATACTCCTAAGTACATCATCTAACGAATCCCAAAAGCAGCGTTTTTCCCCCTCCCCTAGACCAACGTGTGGGGCGTACACTGAAAGGACATTCACCACTTCCGCTTCTATAATAACCTTAACAATCATGATTCTATCCCGGTATCTACAAACTTCAACTACATTTTGCTTGAGCCTAGTGGATACCAAGATACCCATCCAATTTCTAGCGTTATCTACTCCTGAATACCGTAACTTGTAACCGTTACACTCTCTGACGCGAGCCCCTTTCCACCTAGTCTCTTGAATACATGACAAATCTATTTTCCTATTACTTAGCCCGTCGGTCAGCTCCAACAGCCTAACATTTAATGTGCCTACATTCAACGTACAAACTCTAAGTCTAGTCTCTTTGACACCACTATGTCGAGCCCGTCCCCTATCCGCCCTATGGGATCTAAAAGAAGGACATGACCTCAAGTAATCATCTATAGTTGAAGCTATGAGGAACTATGAAAAAGGAATCCAAAGAAGACAGAAGATGCACAAAAAAACGCTAGAGAATTGAGGGATACTAAGAAGCCTAATTGATTACTAAATAGGATTTTAATTTATATAATACTATTTTTATTTTTATTGCTAAAAGCCTAGTATTGAAAGGAGGAAAAATATCAGAACATGATTATAAAATATGGTCCGACAAATTTCTGGATAGTAATTGACT